GCTAATCACTACAAAACACATGTGGTGCCACCAAATGTTAAATTATTTTTTGCTGGTAATTCAAATGTTTCAAACATGGGCGTAGCCAGCCTAACATTCAAATTTTCCTTATATATATATAAAATAGTACCCTGAAATGCCAGCTTAATAGGGTCGAGCCCCCTTAAATTTCATTCTGGCTACGCCAATGGTTTCAAATGACTGCGAGTTATCGGTTATGTTTGATGAGTTTGGAGGCCCGGAGAGGGAATAAGAAGAACTTAAAGACAGTCGTTTTGGTTGTAAGCTAACATTTTTCGTGTGTGCACTTGAAGAAATGTTTCTAATTTTTATAAAGTTGCGATTAAGATTAAGATAAAAGTTGAGATTTAGATTACAATTGAGATTATTTATTTATTTGAGAAATAATATTGATATTAAGATTAAGACTAAAATTAAGATTAATATTAAGATTAAGGTTGATATTAAGATTATTACTAAAGGTTAGATTAATATTAAGATTAAAATTAAGATTGAGACTAAATTAAGATTAGGATTAAGATTAAGATTGAGATTGAGATTAAAGATAAGACTAAGATTGAGATTAAGGATAAGGATAAGTTTAAGATTAAGATTCGGATTAGGATTAAGATTAAGATGAAAGTTAAGATTAATATTGAGATTAAGATTGAAATTGAGATTAGGATTAAGATTGAGATTGAGTTTGAGATTAAGAATTCGAATAAGAGTAAGGTTAAAACAAAGGTTAACATTAAGATTAAGATTAAGATTACGGTTAAGAATAAGCCAAACGGGTAATCAGGTTTAATTTAATCTTAGATATATAATTTTTCCTTTTAAACCCATATGGCACTTTTTCACTTTCGAATTGACGCTAACAACAACAATGAAATAAACAAACAGACTAGCGAGTGAGTTAGAGGTAGGCTGCGCGCCAAGCTGAATTTACAACGCTGAATGTAATCGCATATCAAATGCTGGCCGGTGTAAATTACCATACAAACATACTCGAAGATAGGAGAAGAAGAGGAAGGAGAAAAAAGCAAATTTATTTAGTTCGGCGACCGTCTCCGACGTGTAGCTGCGCTTTTTTGTTGTGCTCATAGCAAAGCTGGCGCCGCATGGCGGGTTTCTTTTTTCTTGCAATCTTATCATCAATTTATTTTTCATCAGTTTTTCTCAAAATATTTATCAGTTCATTTGAATCTTGCGAACAATTAAAAACCACATGAATTTTGTAAGCTGAAATTATTTCCGAGAAGGCGTGGTATTGCATAAGTAAATTGCTCGGTGCGTGCCTCCGAAAATTCCTGAAAAAAATACAAAAAACAAAAACAATCAAAAACTAAAGCAATTCGACGGGCGAGCCGGCCAATCAATGTAACAAGTCTACGCAAAAATTAAGCAATTAAACAATCAACAGTAACATCAAAGTGGGCAATTTAAAAGTAACTTGTTGTACGATAAAACAAAAAATAAATAAAAACAAACAAGAAAAAATAAATCACGAAAAAATCTAAAGCACAATAACCCGCCACAAACCTTCACGTACTCGCTTCGCACGACCTCTGAACTGACCAGCTCACCACAGTCGTCGAGTGGCGCTGAAACCGTCGCAAGGCCCATATTATTGTCGTAGTTGTTGTTTTTTTTCCTTACGCGTTAACCGATTTAAATTGCGTACATTCGCTTTTATGTATTTTATTTTGCTTATTTTTTTGCTTTGCTTTTGCCCTGTGTTTTCATCCGTTTTTTTGTGTGTTCATTTCTTTGTGTCCGCGCGCCTTGGCTTTTATCCATTTGTCCACTTTTTTTCGGAATTTTCACACAACAGTTTTGATTGTGCAATTTTGTGAATGGCCAACAGGCATCAATCACAATCAAGTGCGCAAAATCTACAACAATCAAAAGTGCAACAATTACAACAGCAACAACTAAGACGACGACGACAACAACGCGTACAAGATGTGTACGAAAAATCAAATGAGTGTTCTCATGGAGAAATTGAATACGGTAAGTGAGAAGAGAGTTAAATGGTTTGTGAGGAAATTTTTGAAAAATTATAAGTCTTATGTCTAAGATTACTTACATAAAAAGATACTGTCAAAACGGAACAAAAATTCCTAAGAAATTTTGATTAAAAGAGGACCTAATTCAGATTAAATTCGTAATAAAGTATCTCGGCATAGTTCTGAATAACCAACTTGCATGGAAGGCTTACATTAAGCATAAGTTCCCGAAAGGCTTGGCTTCATTTGCAACATAAATATGTAGCTCTTTGATAAAACGCGTGGCCTGTCACCGAAGGGGTTCATCTGTATATACTCATCCGTGGTCAGAGCCATTATGAGCTATGCATCAGTAGTATGGTGGAGCAGAATCTCAGTCAATATCGTAGGAAATCAGCTTGCCAAAATTCAAAGTATAGGCGTCGTGTATTGTAGGGAGCCTTCTTTACAACGGCTAACACAGCTTTGGCTGCACTGCTTCACTTCCCAACACTTTGTATCCTTGTACTTATACATACAAACATATTTTGGGAGGCATTAAAGGCCTCAATGTTCATATGCCACTGAGTGGGTCGCGGTAGAAATTTCTGCTGGCGTTTATGTATATCTTTTCAATGCCCCAAGATAATACACCACCATTGCCTTTACTGTAGAGATTCTACAACGTTGTGTTTCCTGGTTTTGAGTGCTGGTTAAATGTCAGCACCGAGCCCGGGCTTACTTACTTTCTCACTTTCTTTACTCAAAACCGAGACATGGCCAGGATTTGGAGTCTACACCGAATAGTAGTTATGACTCCGTATTTCATGTTGGCTAATTTACAATTCCCCAGGCCTTAGGCTACGTGTTAGAAAATAGGTGAACAAGTAATTGTTTACGTATCTCAAGCTGCACTCAAGTCATTGGCCAACCCTCTAACTACTTCTAAAATAGTTATGCAACGCAAGTCTCGACCCGTTTTACTCCAGGTGCCAATACCTTCGGGAATTATTTTGACTAATACATTTAACCACTTAGCTAAAGATGGCTCAGACCAGGCATTCACTGGGTGAGTATTTTCGCCATCAATGACTTTGAGGCATCAGACGGCACATGTAAGTAGATATTTGCTTTCGTTTAGCAGATAGAACATTTCTTGTGACTCATCCCCGCTTTTGGCAGAGTTAGGTATAAGGATTTTGGCAGAGACAAACTAGTGAGCCCTTTAAGAATCGGATATTGAAACATGATTTCGTCTCATGATAGTTTTTATTATTTTAGATCTGGTGAATATGGGGTATGGGGTAAAAGTTCGAAGTCCAATTGATAGATTATTTCTATTTTGACTATACACATGTGTCAATATCGAATCTGTCCAAAATCTCTGCTCTGATCATTTTACCCTTTTCAAGGTAATCGATGTGAATGACACCGTGTGTATCAAAAAAAAAACTGTGAGCATGATCTTATTGGCCGACAGACGCCCTTTGGCGTTATTTGGAGCATTTCTTGAATGTTCCTTGGTCTCTGGTGTATTGTGGTGGATCCATGCTTCGCCAACGGTAACGGTGCAAAAACTCATTCGGTTTGCTGCTGAACATCGCCAACACTTCTTTGAAGTGGTTATATGGTTGCTTTTATATTCGAGTGTTCACTGGCGTGGTGGCACCCAACGCGCGAATAGCATTTTTACATCCAAATACCCACTCAGTTGAGATGCGAATAGCCTCAGTCACCCGACACACTTTCATTCTCCGATGGTCCGACGTCCTCTTTTGGGCGGCCTGAACATTCGGAGTGACTTGTGTTGGTATGACCACAACGGAACTAAGTTAACTACTTTTTAACCATTGAAATTGATTGTGAAGAATTCCTATTGTATTTAACAAGCCTTTCGTTGGACTCGGTACTGGATTTTCACGCAAAAAGTTGCTTAATCAGCTAAATGGCGGAGCTTGTCAAAATTTTACAGTGGTCTATTAATTGATGTCAGTTGAGGGACCAGCATTACATTAAAAGTTGCTGCGCGGCAAATTCTAAAAGTCACTCGCTTTTTAAGTTCCCTTTATTCTCACGCAATATATTTTAAATATTTAATTGCCCATGCAGTCACCGACTAACTCTCGCGCCGTGCAGTTGTGTCTAGCTAGCGTACCACAGTTGAGCGTGTTTGTGTTTCAGTGAGCAATTTAAACGTGTTTAGCGTTTCCCAATCTCAATATATAAATCATAAATTTATCCCCCCGTAAGTGTTAACCAAATTATTCTGTGTGCATATGGAAAATATGTCAACGATTCCCTCGGGGAATCGTTATAGCATACTTGCTGAAGGTATGCTAAATTCCCCGAAAGCAAAACGCAAAAAAGCGACCGCGAAAGCACATTTTCCAGCGCTTCCAGATGTGAGCACTAACAACAATAGCACCGATCCGAAATTTATTATTATAAAATCCACTGACGCGTCCAAGCCATTGTCAAGTTTTAGCGTTTTCGCAAAAAAAGAAGGCACTTGATTGTATAAGCACAGAGTACCTGTCAGTGAGTATTCTCCGTGATGACAGCTTACTTATTCTTGCAAAATCCCTCAAAGTAGCTGAAAAGTTCATTAAATGCAAAAACTTTGGCGGACTATGCCCTATCTCTGCCAACTTCCACGATTCCCTAAATACTTGCAAAGGTACAATTTTTGACAAAAATCTGGCACACACCGACGAACAAGAAATTCTAGAAGCTCTTAAACCACAAGGCGTTGTGGCTATATACAAATTTACCAAAACTGTTGACAATGTAAAAATTCCAACAGGCAGAATCGTGCTTTCATTTAATTTGTACAAAGTACCTCAGTCGATCGACATAGCATGGTATTCAGTGAGAGTAGAAGAGTACTTTCCTAATCCTATGAGATGTCGCTCATGCCAACTGTTGGGTCATACTATGAAAAGGTGCAGCAACAACTCCACCTGTGAAAGATGCAACTTCCCCCCTCACAATGACTTGCCTTGTTTACGAACGATGTGTGCCAACTGTTATGGCCCCCACCCTGCCTCTGCTAAAGACTGCCCAAAGTACTTGCAAGAAAAGGAAGTACTAAAAATTAAAACTCAAAATAAATGCAATTACCCTGAAGCTAGACGCCTTTACAAAATTCAAAATCCCATTAACGTGAATCAAGATCAAACATATGCATCAATTCTAAACTCAACACAAGCCGCTCAACACAGTCTCTCACAAAACCCGACCGATCTCACTTCTTCAGTCGGTAACTCAACAGGTATCCCCAAACCACACATCTCTTCTATCCAATCTCACTCATACCAACCGAACGAGTCACTTTCTAGTGCTCACTCACACTCAGTTAAGTCACTCACTCACGTTCATACATCGGCAGCAGCCAACACACAATCTACACAACAATCTCTCCCAACTAACTCATTCACACAGCTCACTACAACTCCGGCTGCAAACTGGAGCTCTATTTCTCAAGTGCATCCCCAAAACTCACCACCTGAACACTCATTAGACTCTAATAAAAACAATAGCAATGAGATTAATACATCTCTAACACACAACGCTTCCTCAACTCATACTTCTAATGACTACTCTACATCTCTTACATCCTACAACTCAAACTTTGAATCCACCACGCAACCTGACTCCATTCTGCACTCTCTTCTCAACACAATCTCTGGTACACATAATGACGATATGGATAATGATCTTCAAGAGCCCACGCTATAGGTTATTTTCCAAAAGAAAATAACACTTATAGCAAGTAAATAAATAAACAAAAATGATTCTCAATATTCTCCAATGGAATATTAGAGGTTATCATAATAACTATCTCGAATTAGAAACTCTAATAAAAGATCGGAAGCCAAACATAATATGTGTGCAAGAAACCCACATTACTGCGAATTATACACCACACTGCCCCAAGCAATATACAGCACATTTTCACAACTTCCCGGGTATTACATACTCCAAACAAGGTTGTGGTCTATTAATTCATAAAAATCTTCAACATAGACGAATCAATTTATCTACCAACTTATCAGCAGTTGCCGTCGAGTTTACATTTAGACATCCCATTACTATACTTTCCATTTATATTCCTCCAAATCAAAATATCTCGTCCTCTGATTTATTACGGCTTACCTCCTCTATTAATACCCCAGTAATTATATGCGGGGATTTCAACGGTTGGAGTCCTCTCTGGGGCTCACCAAAAACTAACCATAGGGGTTCAATAGTTGAAGATTTTATTCTGAGTTCCAATTTGTGCTTACTAAATAATAATAGCCCAACGCATTTTTCTACACACAACACATACACACACGTTGACCTGACTTTATGCTCACCACAATTACTTCCCATTTCAGCTTGGTATACACTTGAGGATCTACACAATAGTGATCACTTTCCCATTATTTGTTCATTTTCTTTTTTTATCCCTAACGTTTCCAACCCCTATAAAGCATCTAAATACAACACTGACAAAGCAAACTGGGAAAAATTTAATCAATTTTTAATGACCAAACACTTACCTGCTTTCGAAAACAATAACCCCAATAAAGAAGCTGCAATTATTCAAAAGACTATTCGGGAAGCAGCCAACATAGCTATCCCCCGCAGTTCATGTCGTAGGTCTTCAAGAAATGTGCCGTGGTGGTCGTCAGAACTTAGTATACTCCGAAACGACAAACTAACAGCCTGGAGACAATATCAAAGGAGCCCCACTCCTGAGAATTTCGTACTCTATAAAAAACGCAACGCTCAGTTTAACAGGGTAAAAAAGCAAGCGAAAACCCGTAGCTTCGAAGAGTTTACTGAAAAATTAAACCCCACTTCCACTATTCGCAGTATATGGAAGGGAGTACAAACACTTACGGGCACGTACTCCCCAATAAATATTTCTTCAATTAAAATAAATAATAAAATATTCACTGATCCCAATTCAATTTTATTAGAATTTGCTCAGAATATCTCTAAGTCATCGGAAACCTCCAACTTTCCACCGCAGTTCATAGCTTCCGCTAGTAACATTCCGCTTATGTCCGCAGCCAACTCAACCGACAGTCTAGCTGTACATATGGAAAGAGATATCTGCTTTAACGAAATAGACTATGCTCTAAAGACAGCCAAAGGTACAACTCCAGGTTTTGACCAAATAAACTACGGCATGTTACGCCATATGCCAGTCTCATTAAAACAGAGGCTCATCCAGCTCTACAACTCCATTCTAAAAAGCGGCATTATCCCTCAAAGTTTCAAAACAGCCGTGATTGTTCCTATACTAAAGCCACAGAAAGACTCGTCTGATGTCGAAAGCTATCGCCCAATCTCCCTCATTCCGTGTATCAGTAAACTAATGGAAAAAGTCATCTCAAAAAGGCTAATGTGGTTTCTAACAACCAAAAAGCTCTTATCGCCATTTCAGGTTGGATTCAAAAACGGCACCAGCACTCTGGATGCCTTACTCTCCTTAGACCACCAACTTTCAAAAAGCTTCTCTACTAAAAACCACTCTTCTATCCTTGCTATTGATTTCGCCAAGGCTTTTGACAAAATTGGTTGTCATATAGTTCTTAAAAAACTTCACGAGTGGAAAGTGGGTCAAAATATTTTTAATTACATAAAGTCTTTTCTCAGCAATCGTAAGTTTCGATGTAAGGTAAACAGCTATCTCTCGCCTACATTTTCGCTTCTCAACGGTATCCCACAAGGATCTCCACTTTCCGTCACTCTCTTCTTAATAGCGTTTGACGACGTTAGCAAAATCATGAGTCAACAGACAAATATTAAGCATTGCCTTTACGCCGATGACTTATTTTTAGTATGTGGTAATAAAAATATTTCCGAAATTGAGGAATCGTTTGGAAAAGCTTTCCAGGCTTTAGAAGAATGGTCTCAACATTCAGGTGCTCTCGTTTCGTTCGAAAAATGCAAGCATCTGCATGTCTGTAGAAGACGTAGTTGTAATCAGATAGACATTAAGTACAACAATCATAAAATATCCAATGTCAAATCTATGAAAATATTGGGCGTTATATTTGACGACAAACATAGTTTTAAGGATCATTGTATTAGTTTAAGAGGTGAACTAGCTACCAGATTAAATATTATTAAATATTTATCATCGAAGAAAAGTTGTATACATACTAACACCTTACTTAATATAACTAAATCGATAATACAAAGCAAAATTGACTATGGTATTCAGTTATATGGAAAATGCAATACGGCTACGTTAAATAAAATTAAAGCACCGTTTCACGCAGCGATACGACGAAGTTTACGTGCGTTCAGAACAACACCTATCACAAATCTACTAGCAGAAAGCGGCTTTCAATCATTGGAAGATCGTATAAAATACCTTCGAAGTCGTATCATTTATAAGTTGTTCTGCAACTCTACACACATTCTCAACCACGAAGTCAAGCTATTGATGAGAAGAAAAAGGGCACTCTCACACAAATCAGCACTATGTGAGGTAAAAGCTCTCGCTGACCTCTTAAACCTGGAGATGGTCCCCATGAAAATCCCCAACACCAAACTTCCTCCATGGATCATAGACAAAAGTAGTTTCATTGATGAGTTGACGCTTCTTCGGAAGGAGAACACTAGCAACGCTTCATACCAACAATCATTTTTGAACATAGTTACGCCTCTTATGCAAAGTGGGTGGAATCTAATCTTTACAGATGGGACCAAACAGAACAACGGAGTTGCATTCGCTATTACAAATGATACCGGTTTAACTTTATCTCATGGCTTGCTACCACAGTACGCCGGCATTTTTGAAGCCGAATTACAAGGTATCATTTCGGCCCTGCGTTTAATAAAAGAAGGGAACAAAAAAAGTCATTATTTGCACTGACAGCCAATCAGTCTTCAAAGCTGCAAGAAACATTCACTATGAAATAGGACCAATATACCATCTTCAACAACTGCTCATTAAATTAGCACCAAATACAAAGTTAATGTGGGTCCCTGGACATGCAGGTATAGCTGGTAACGAATATGCTGACAAAGCTGCGAAGTTTGCTTTAAATTCTTGTCTACACACCTACAATCCGTTTGGCACTTCATCAATTAAAACGATGTACTCTACTGCTTTGAAGTCTCACCTACACCTGAACTGGCAACAGTATCAACATGAATATAAAGAGGTGAATCCTAGTGGCATGTCAATAACACTACCTACTACGACAACAACATGGATGAATAGATGTTACGTTCGCCTAAGACTAGGACATGCTCTCCTCACACACGAACACCTTCTTACAAGAAGTCCTCAGCCCACATGCTCCTTCTGCAACACTGCCAACTTAACCACACGTCACATTCTACTGCATTGCTCAGGTATTGCCGCTATACGCACAACAACGTTCGAAGACGCACACCCGCTCAATGTCCTCTCCATCCCATCTGAATCAAATATCATATTAATGTCTAACTTTCTTAAATCTTTAAACATCTTTCATCTAATATAAATACACATTACGTTTACATATATTATCTCTTGACTAAGCCGATAGCCATGGTAGCTAGTGCTATTATATTAATTTTGTAATTTTTAATTATATTAATTAATAAATAAATAATAATAAATAATAATTGCCCATGAGCTGCCAACACCTTTGAAAAAGGCTCCTTATCGCCTTCTGAAAACCAGGATATGTCTTAAAAACTATTAAAATGTTGTACACCTGTTTTTATAAGAAACAGATATTTAAAAAGTAGTATATCCGGCAGCCCACACGCTTACATTTATGCCGCAATGCACTGTAAATGCAAGGCGCTTCAATTTATATAGCTGAATTCCTCATTGACGATTTCCGTTTCCCAAAAACCTACACGCAAACAGCGTTAAAATTGTTTGCATCCGCCAAACATTAAACGCAATTAATTTGAAATATTTTATTGTATTCGCCACGCATTCATTCATCCATATTTGCCACTAATATGCGCAGACCAAGTAGCGAGTAGTAAAAAAAACTAGGGTATATGAAGACCAAAAATACGTCGGAGGTAAAATCAGTAAAAGCAAAGAAATAAAAGTAAAAAAATCGAAGAGTAAAAGCAAAAATATGCACACCACACTAAAGTGTAATGAAACTCACAACAAAATGTGGTCATATTGTTGATGGTAATACCACAAACCACAGGCATGGCAATTTGCTGCTAAGTACTCTTTTTGAAAGTGTATTTATTCACTGATGTCTATAAATGTCTTTATAAAAGGGACAATTACGAAATATATACGCTGCGGCACACTATTTACTTACATATAGCACTAGTTGAGCACTCGAGGCTTGGTAGGGAATGATAGCGAAAAAACGAAGAGTAATGGAGGGGAAATCTAAACTAGAGGATCACTGTCATCCATCCGCAAAACTAAGGGCGAGTCGATTAAACATGCGGCCAAGATATCCATCACAAAAGTGATTTTCAAATTTAGTCATATAAAAACAGAGACGCCGTGGTTTGATATTGTGAAAATAGCATCTTTTGGTTGCTCCGAAGATTGTAGTCTGATGTGATTAATCATGCTGTAGTTTAAAATTTTTGATTACAATAAATATCCGGCCTTCTTGTCAGACCCATCAATTTTACGTTCCCCCGAAATCAATCGTTATATGTATAAAAGAGTGGAAGGCATGACATAAAGGCAATTCTTCCAATGCAGCAGCTTCGGCCTAGTTCTGATCCTTCTAGGGAATTCTATACTTCTTGTT